CTTTTTAATAGAGTGCGTTCCTCGCGAGTAAGTAATTACTCGAGTAAATTTGCATGAGTAATTTTTTACTCGAGTAATAGCTCGAGTAATAGCTCGAGTAATTGTCGAGTAATGCGTTTTCTAAAAATATAAAACGAAAAAAATATAAAACCAATTTTTTACGCAGGTTTTTCAAAAAAAAAAAAAAATCATTTTTTACATTGGAAGGGAATTTCCCACCAAATCAGTTAAACGGCTGAGTATCTTTAAAAAAGTGTCGTATATAATGCGGGACTCGTCATTTTTGCGTCATTTTTTGGGGTTGGAACAAATGCGACCTTTTTTTGCGAAACCTGGACATTTGCGCACCTTTTTTGCTGGAAAAGGCCTTAGGAAGCTCTACGACCTTTCCTAAGGCCTTTTCCAGCAAAATCTGCATTTGTCCCACCCCCAAAAATTGACGCGGAAAAATGCCTAGCACCGACTTATATACGCTCCCTTTTCAAGATATTCAGCTGTTTAACTGATTTGGTGGTAAATTCCCTTCAAATGTAAAGATATTCAATTTACTCGACGTAAAGAGGATTACTCGTAGTTACTCGACGAAAAAAAACGTCGATACTCGATTTTACCACCAAATCAGTTAAACAGCTGAATATCTTGAAAAGGGAGCGTATATAAGTCGGTGCTAGGCATTTTTCCGCGTCAATTTTTGGGGGTGGACAATGCGACCTTTTTTGCTGGAAAAGGCCTTAGGAAAGGTCGTAGAACTTCGAAAATGTTTCCATACTAGGGAATCGTATGCTTAGATTCCGAATTTCGACAAATCAAAGCAAATCAGACCTCGCTGACACGTCAAATTTGAGCTAAAAGGCAAAAACTACGCAACTTAACGCTTTTCCGCAGTTTTTGCCTTTTAGCCCAAATTTGACGTGTCAGCGAGGCCTGTTTTGTCGAAATTCGGAATCTACGCATACGATTCCCTTATATGGAAATATTTTTGAAGCTCTACGACCTTTCCTAAGGCCTTTTCCAGCAAAAAAAGGTGCGCAAATGTCCAGGTGCGCAAAAAAAGGTCGCATTTGTCCCACCCCCATTTTTGCTAAAAGTACGGTAATTTTTTTTGCAAGTGTGCGTTTTAAAAAACGCATTACTCGCGAGGAACACACTCTACTTTTTAAACCTTTTAAATAAAGATCATTGTTTTTAAAGCAAAATTTGAAATACTTTATTCGAGGAAATCCCAAAATGCATTTAAATTTCTCTACCAAATTCCTCATATAATTTCCTTTTCACTGTTTTCATCGTTTTCAAATATCTCTTCATCCATTCCCTTCCCATTTTCTTCATAGAGTTCTGCTGAGCTTCGGCTTTTCCGGATCAGATGATGATTTTGGATCCGAATTTCGGATCAGACTCATCCTTTTCCAATCCAATCTCCTTCACTTCCTATTCAGATCTCTGTCTCCGGTTTAATCCTTGCTGGATCAGCTGATTTCAAATTCAAATTACTTGATTTCTCTCAAAAATCTCAACATCTTTCACTCTCTCACAACTCAATCCTCTTCTTTCCATATAATCGCTTTTTTTCGATCGATTTTTTTCTATTCTTAAATCATTTTCGCAAATTTCAATCTTCTGAATAGTTTTCTGAAGCTTTAGATACATTTCAAATGATCTTTTCGTACAAATTTTGAATATTTGGAGCAGAAGGGGTCGATAAGAGGCGATGGTCGGTCGGCGATGGTCGGTCGGCGATGGTCGGTCGGCGATGGTCGGTCGGCGATGGTCGGTCGGCGATGGTCGGTCGGCGATGGTCGGTCGGCGATGGTCGGTCGGCGATGGTCGGTCGGCGATGGTCGGTCGGCGATGGTCGGTCGGCGATGGTCGGTCGGCGATGGTCGGTCGGCGATGGTCGGTCGGCGATGGTCGGTCGGCGATGGTCGGTCGGCGATGGTCGGTCGGCGATGGTCGGTCGGCGATGGTCGGTCGGCGATGGTCGGTCGGCGATGGTCGGTCGGCGATGGTCGGTCGGCGATGGTCGGTCGGCGATGTTCTCCTGGTCGGTCGGCGATGGTCGGTCGGCGATGGTCGGTCGGCGATGGTCGGTCGGCGATGGTCATTCTGCCTTGGTCGGTCGGCGATGGTCATTCTGCCTTGGTCGGTCGGCGATGGTCATTCTGCCTTGGTCGGTCGGCGATGGTCATTCTGCCTTGGTCGGTCGGCATTCTGCCTTGGTCGGTCGGCGTTCTGCCTTGGTCGGTCGGCGTTCTGCCTTGACCGCCCAGGCAATGCTCTCGTGTGAATGGTGAGCTCTAGGCATTCAAATGACGATTGCTTAAGAGTGAGATATCCAAATCCGAGCAATCGAACGATTTAACTCTGATCGATCAACTTCAGTAGTAGGAATTGGTTATGAACGATGAATGGTCCATTGCTGCTTGCAAAACGTTCCATTGACATTCTTGGCCACAATATGTTGATGACTGGCTTACCTTTTCCTCATCTTGGCTTACCTTTTTCTTATCTTGGCTTACCCGGTCTCCACGCTCTCATATCCGGCATCTTTTTCTCGTCCTCCCAATTCTCGGGTTTCTTATCTTTCGGATCATCGATAAACTCTCGACTGTCCCAATCTTTCGGTTTCTTCACGGAGCAATTCTGAAAACTTTTTTAAAACTCATAAATCTTTTCACTATACCGGAATATATTTCACTGGCAACATGTCAAAGAATTCCTCAATTTTTCCGCTCATTTCCCTCGTCCAATCAATTCGAACTTCGAAAGTGTTATTTCTGTAGATGATGATCGTGTAGAGATGGGTGAGGTCATCCCACTGGAAAAGTTGAGATCAGAAATTGGAAACACACCCTTTCTAGTGTACTGGTCGAGGAAAAGTAAAGAATTTAGTGCAAAAGAAGGCTTGTGTTTGTGATTTCAGGAGTACAGAAAGCACAATTTCTTGGGAGTGCTTGAAGAGCTACTTGGTGCTTGAAGAGCTACTTGGTGCTTGAAGAGCTACTTGGTGCTTGAAGAGCTACTTGTGCTTGAAGGGCTACTTGATGCTTGAAGAGCTACTTGATGCTTGAAGAGCTACTTGATGCTTGAAGAGCTACTTGATGCTTGAAGAGCTACTTGATGCTTGAAGAGCTACTTGATGCTTGAAGAGCTACTTGATGCTTGAAGAGCTACTTGATGCTTGAAGAGCTACTTGATGCTTGAAAAGAAGTGTAAACACGTCCTCTCTAGCGCACTCGATTCCTCATGAATACTGTGGAAAAATGAAGAAGAATTCAGTGCACTAGACTACACAAAGTTCCCCTGTACTCACTTTCGCTCTGAGCTCTCGATTCACTTCGTAATTCTTTCCCTTGTAATGATAGAGAATCTAGATTTCAAATTTTCATCTTTACCTTCGAAATTTACATTTAAAAACCTTGACTTTTTTATTCTGTGCACAAAAATCCGGTCCAAACATGAAATTGTATTTCGTTTTTTGCATTCAAATCCGATAAATTAACATAAGATGGCATTAGCTGAAGGGAATTTTGATCGATAAGTTGAACAGTTTTAAAGTTGAACAAACTTTTAAATAACCTCCACCACAGTCGAGATCTTGCTCATGCTTGACGGTGTATTGAAGGATTAACGTTTTATTGCGATTGCGAAAACGAGGGAAATAGACACCGATTGCATAGAAGTGCGAATCCTGGGCAAATTTTGAAATTATAGAGATTTGGAATTGTCTCTATAGCTTTGGCCTTGATAACCATGACCAGCTAGGAATCAGAACTGGCTCACAGATCTCAATGAGCTCACAGATCCAGAAGTCAAGTCTTTTCCAAGAGATCTTAACGTTTTTAGAAACTAACTTGTTTCTAGAAACTAACTTGTTTCTAAAAAGGTTACTCGTTACTTGCATTAGGTATATGCATAAGAAATGCGGATTTCAACATTTTCATCAATTTCTAACGATCGAAATCTGATATCGATGAATGTTATAAACTATTTGAAATTTGCAAATCTCCTCTACAAATGACAATGACAATGACATTAAGAATGATAATGAATATAAACTATTTGAAAGTTGTAAATCTCCTCTACAAAATAGGCTAAAACGTGTTTCAATTGATCGAAGCATTGAAGAAATTTCGAGGGCGAAATGCGAGTGACCAAAAAAAAGGTATCGAGTCACTTTAGGGACAAGTTTGAATCAAGATCATTGGAATTAGAGCTCTAGTATGCTTCTAACTTAAAATAAAGCATTTTTATTGGGTGAAGGACTTGATGTGAAGCACTTGACAAGTCAAAAGGCTTTCCTACAGGAGTTGATCAGGTAAAGCACTTTGTGTGAAACGCATTGTAAAGCCGAAATGTCGCCCTGTAGGACAAGACAGAAAAGAACATCCTTTAACAATCAATGATTCGTTGTTGATTGTAGATCCAACACAACTAAGTTTTAGGACAAAAGATTCGTTTCTACAAATGTCTAACCTCATTGTCAGCCTAGATCCAGAGAGTCTAACAAGTCAAAAGGCTTTCCTACAGGAGTTGATCAGGTAAAGGCATTCAGGGATTTTTTAGACTTTGGCTAGCTCTCCTCAACAAAAGATTAGATTGGCTTGTGTTATGCCCATAAAACCTTAAACATAAAACTTCAAAACTCCTCACCTGACTCGTTTGTATTCCCCTATCCCTTTCCTGATTCTCATAAATTCTCCCGGCTGTCCATTTCCATTTCCCAAAATCGTTTCGATTTTTTGATTGAATCCATCTATTCGTCCAATTTGCATCAAAAAAACTCCTCCAAAAAATGAATCTTTCCAAGGGTTACTGTAGAAAAGGCAAAAATTAGAAAAATGATTGTGGAAATCATTTTCACATGTCTTTTTTAGAGAAAGAATTCAGTAGATTAATTAGTGCACAAATTCTGTGCCTACTTTTCTGCTATGTTTTGAATTTTTGTGGAGATAATTGATTGAATATTTATTTGATTATCGTTTTTTTCTTTCCCAAAGTCAATAATATTTCTGAATACATTCCACAGCGCATTCAATGAAACCGAACATTTTCTTCATATAATTCTGCTGAGCTTCGGCTTTTTCGTGATCTAAAATGAGAATTTCAGTACTGCAGTTTAATCAGTACTGTAGCTTGATCAGTGCTGTAGCTTGATCAGTGCTGTAGCTTGATCAGTACTGCAGTTTTGTGAGATTTTGATTAAGTTTAAAGACTTAAAGCATTGTTTAGCTACCGTAATTTGCATAATGTAGTGACTTGGGACTTGAGCATCAACTCTCCGCTCAAAGCTCAAAGCTCTCCGCTCAAAGCTCTTCACTCAAAGCTCAAAGCTCTCCGCTCAAAGCTTTCCCCGACTACCGTAACCTTATCTTTACATCATAGCTTTAGTCTTTATATCTTATGTTCCTGTAGTCTTTAAGCTGGCTTACGGTAATATACGGATTACGGTAACCGGGGCAAGCTTTAGAGCTGCTATCTGGTTGGCGTTCGGACAGCAAGCCAAGCACATCTACTAAGTGATGGATTCAGTACAGTAGAAGGGGATAAGTTTACAAGTTGAAATACAAGCACAAGTCCATAGTAAAATCTCTCGAACCAGCTCTTGCAGCCAACATCATTCCCATCATTTCCGGTTTAATGAAAAGCAACGCCATTGGCACCATCAATAATGGGTATAAACGCTCGAAAGAATCGACTAACTAAAAGATTTGATAATATTCGATTACCTTTTGGATCAAAGATCAATTGAATCAAAGATCAATTGAATCAAAGATCAATTGAATCAAAGATCAATTGAATCAAAGCCCAATTGAATCAAAGCCCAATTGAATCAAAGCTACCTTTTCAAAAGTTTCCCATGGCAATTTGCAACCATCGGCTTTCTCGAGAAGAACTGAGTAATAGTCACGGAGGTATTTGTTGCGACTGAAAAGCTTTGTACTTTATAAAAGAAACTGAAGAATTTTCATGTTAATCCTAGCTTTAAATCGATCCTCTTTAGGGTCAAATCTCCAGGATCTCCAGTTCAAAGTTCTCCATGATTGGCGAGGTGTTCTTTGTGCGGTAATCGCTCTTCATCTGGCACACCCTCTCGATAGATAGGTGATCTCTTTTGCAAAATCGAAGCAAATGCAGGGGCTAGCGACTGAGCCGTCCCCGACGCTTTAGACATGACTATGCCCAAACTCCCGTCCCAACTCCCGTCCCAACTTCCGCCCCAACTCCCGTCCCATCTCCGGCGACATTTTTGATAGAAATTCCACATCCCGTCAAACCATTGGACCACTTAAACAGTAGCTAAATTGAGAACAATGCGATCCGACTCGAGCAACTTTGTCCCCCGGCCCCCCAGGATTGGTGAGTCCAATAAACCTCTATATGGTATCCTTTGAGAAACTGAAATCTCCTCTTTAAAACTAGACCAAAAGACAATATTATCTCTAAATAAAGTTATGGATTTTCAGTCCCCTTTAACGATAACAATGAGAATTTTTGTCATTTCTGATAACCAAAAAATCTGTGATAGTATTGCTCACTTTGTCAGCAATTCCTCCACGGAAACGGCGCTCGGGATCCACCGGACGAGATCATTGATCGGAGTGCCCACCTCGCAAACCTGAAATCTTTTTCCAATATAAAAATATCTATTTTCAACTTTTTAAATAAATCCCTCATTCTGAATTCAATTCTAAAATAAGAACCTCAAACGAAATCGAAAATCTTTGACTAAAATGGTGATTCAGACTAAGCCTGAGCCTTTCACACCAAGACCTTGAGCCAATTTTGGTTGAAATGAAGAACTTTTTTGCTGAACATCCTGTAGAACAACCCGTGTCCTTCTTTCAGACTTCTTTCAGGCTTCTTTTAGACTTGTTCAGACTTTTCCTTCTCATCCATCCAACCATTCTTCTGTTCTTCAGTTCTTCTGGTGTTCTTCTGATGTTCTTCTGATGTTCTTCTGGTTCTTCTGTGTTCTTTAGTTCTTCTCGTGTTCTTCTGGTTCTTCTGTGTTCCTCTGTTCTTCCTCTGTTTTTCTGATATTCTTCTGGTATGAGAATGGATGAGAATCTCATCAGAGTTCACCGAGAGTTCACCGAAAAACCGACAAGAGTTTGTGAAAAGATTCGAGGTATAATTGTCTCATTGAAATGAAAAAGCTCTCAAAATGTAATGCCTACTCAATAAATGGGATCATTTGACAAGAAAATCTTTCGCATTCCTCAAACCGATTCTCCTTTTCTCCATTCTCTTACACTCACTTGCCAATCGATAATCGCAATCGGTTGATATTCCCGGTCGGTCGTTTTTCTCCACAAAATATTCCCTGACCACATGTCCATATGCGCCAAAAGTGGTGGCTGACCTGGAATCGATTGTGAGAAAAAAAAATTGATACCGTAAATACTCTAATAGAACGCTTTTCCCTCGTACAGTCGCGTAGTCTAACTTCTTTTCAGAAAATCATTTTTTCTCAACTCCAACGACACTTTTAGTACCAAAAAAATACTAGATTTCAAGGGACATCATTTGACGCCCAAGCGCACACTGTAGCGTAAAGCAGTGCGAAGAACGGTATGTTCAAAGTTAGACTACGCGATTGTACGCCCGTCATTATGGGGGTGGCGTTCTATTAGAGTATTTACGGTAAGAGTTTTCACAGAACATCTCAAAGAAAAGCCTGGCTCAACTCCATCAAAAACTCACAAGTATTCGCTAATAATCTCTGATAATTGTTGAAATCCGGCACAAGATCGACAATTTTTCTCATCGCTTCCGCCTCTTGGACTCGTTGTGGATGAGCGTCGACGAAGGAGTTTAGATTGGCTAACGTTTTCTGAACAAACAGATTAGTGACAAGTTTCGTAAACTGCGCTGTACATGAAAGATGTTCATTTTGATTTCATTGTCAATGTCATTATCATTGTCATTGTCATTGTCATTGCCATTGTCATTGTTTCATTGTCATTGTCATTGTCATTGTCATTGCCATTGTCATTGTCATTGTCATTGGCATTTTCATTGTTTCATCGTCAATGTCATTATCATTCTTAATGTCAATGTCAATGTCATTCTTAATGTCATTGTCATTGTCATTTTCAATGTTTTATTGTCAATAGTGTACAACAATAGAATTTCTTGATAAACGAAAGCAGAATTCTTTTCAAGAATTCTCTATCTTTTGATCTAAAAACTCCTAAAAAAGTAGCCGTTAAAGTGGTTAAATCTCGTTTTTTCGTTGTACACCTATTGACGATTAGACCGAAGATTGAGAACAGCTTTAAGAACAGCTTTAATGTACACTATACAATCTACAGGATGTCCCAGAATTATACAGATATCGCGCGTCATTTCACCTCTCTAGCTAGGTTTCTTCAAAAGCAATCCAAAATTTTTTGATTTCTTTTGATCACTTTGATATTTTGATGCATTTTTGCACTTAAAACTTTTTCTTTTTTAGTATTTTTTGAAGATCCGTTCATCGTCAATCGATCATTGCTCTTTACAAGGAGAGTGTCTCGTCGACCGACATTCACAAACGTCTAAAAGTTCATCAGAGTGTTGTTAACGATTTTGATCATTGGAAACATTTGTGGATCGTCCAGGACGTGGAGAACGACCAACAACAACCTCAAAATTGAATATCAAAGTGTCAGAGATAGGATCAGAAAGAAGGCGAATCAATCTGTGAGGCAAATCCCGAAAGGAATGGGCACATCGAAGAGTTCTTCTGTGGGACAAATGCTTAAAAACTGAAAAACGAAATGACTGCTAAGAAAACACTAAGAAACACTTTGAAAATCAAATTTCGACCTTCCAAAAAGACCTCCCAACAACCCACAAGGCCAAGAAGAAGCCAAGACTTTTGCAATGTCACCTCCCCCAATTTCATCGCTTCTTCTAAATGGCCATTTAGTTCTCCGGCTCTCAATCCGTTTGACTTTTCTGTTTGGTCAGTGTTTGAAGTAAAAGCTTGCAAAAAACCGCACAAAACGATTGATAGCTTGAAGAAAGTCTTGCTTAAAACATGGGAAGAGTTGGACATCAGCTACTTGCTCGCCACCATGCTTTTGGTCGCCACCCGCCACGCCACCATGCATCAGCTTTTCCCAAACGTTTGCAGGCCTTTAGCAACGCCAATGGTGACCGATTCGAATTCATTTGTTGATTTATAGTTGTTACATATCAAAAAATGTTCTAGAGTTTAAAATGTGGCTCTTTTTCTTTATTAGTCGCTCTTGTCGCCATAATCCTGGGACAACTTGTACAGTATGCAGTGCTAAAGCGTGTACAGTATGCAGTGCTAAAGCGTGTACAGTATGCAGTACCAAAGCTTACATCATATGTGAAGAGCTCTTTGAGTGTGTCCGATGGTTTCAGCTCAACCGAATCCCGAATTTCAGCCATGATTTTCGGGTTGCGAATGGCTAAAGTATAAAATGAACCAATTAACATCTTTAAAAATGAGTCTATTTAATGAATAGCTTTACTGTACCCCGGACTGTACTGTACTGTACAAGTTACAGTACCAGCTACCGTACCAGCTACCAGCTACAATATCCCTAAAAGGCTTCAAAAAATGACCAAATATCTAAGTTTTTCTATCTACCATATAAACCCACCCCAAGCGGTTATCGTTGCCAACCATTTGGTCACCTCCGTGCAAACGTCTTCTTTATTCTCGGCGTGCATGTCCATCTTGACGCAATTCTCGAAATACTCCATCGCAATGTAACCTGAAAGTACTTTTTGCTAAAATCTTGCAAACGCACCCTTTCCAGCGCACAAAAATCTTCGCTTTTCTCGCAGAAACGATCTGGAACAGAGAGAAAAGTGAAGAATTCAGTGAACCGGAAAGGGCGTCGATATTTTTAAGCGCAAAGCCCACTTTATCAAGTCTTACCCACCAGCTTTCAACTCTTTACAGTATGGCCGTCCAGTGTAGTACTCTGGCAATCGGATTTCTTCTGGAAAACCCCATTTACTTCGAGCATTTTGATAAAAATTCAGCTCATTGTTGTGAATCTGAAGAAGGAAATGTTCAATTTGTTGAAATGTTCAATTTCTTCCTCACCAAGCTAGCATTTCTTTCAATAATCTCTGCTGGAAGTGCCATCATTGTTTCCAAGAGCTCGGTGATCCCTTGGCATGTGGTGATCTGGAAAACGAAAGCTAACTTTAAAAGACACCATTTTCAAAGCTACTCTAACCAGTTTTCATTAAATTAGCCCAAATTTTGAGTCACTGACTATCATTGTCTCATTGTAAGTCATGTAATTCCTCGATGACTTCAAAATTGAGTTGATTAAATGAAAAACTGGCGTTTGATTACACTAGTCTTCTAAAATAGAGCTTTTTAGAAAACGTACGGTACTTTTCGGTACTTTTCGGTATACTCCCCGCCACCTCCGCATTTCGGTTATAATAGAAAATGGTACTATGGGCCCCCATACATCAATGTGTTTATTTGGAAATTTAGCATAGCCTCATGTCAGTTCGGTAAAGGCTTTTGACGTTAAAGACTTCTGCCGAACTGACATCAGGCTAAATTCACAAAAGTCTTGGTGAATTTAGCCTGATGTCAGTTCGGCAGAAGTCTTTGACGTCAAAAACCTCTTCCAGACTGACATCAGGTTAAATTCACAGCATTCTGGGTGAATTTAGCCTGATCTCACTTGGGCAAAAGTCTTTGACGTTAAAGACTTCTGCTCAAGTGACATCAGGCTAAATTCACAAAAGTCTGGGTGAATTTAGCTTGATGCCAGTTCGGCAGAGGTCTTTAACGTCAGTAACCTGCAAATCATCGATCCGGGTGATCAATTCCAAAATCTTGGTCTTGTCTTGGTACTCCGATCAACCACTTCAGCAAGGAAACATTTGTTTGGGTGGCGGGAGTATAACCGAAAAGTACCAAACGTACTAACCGTAAAAGTATTCGGTTGGAAAGAAAGTTCTCGGAAAAAGTTTGCATGGTGATTTCTCTAAAAAGCAACCCATCAATTCTACCAAGATTTTTTGATAAACTTGACTATATTTCAAAAAGTCAGCTACATTTTCCGACCGCAAATCGACAGGTTCTGATAAACGCTTCTCGAGATTACGAGGAATTTAGACGACGATCACCACTATTAGAAGAAAATACGGTAATAGATATTTCTGGTTAAGAAAATTTTGAATAAGTACAAATTTGAATCCAAATTTAAACAGCACCTTTAGCACTGCAACCTCGGGTAATCCAGCTTTTTCACCGTGCCAATCAAAGTGTGCCAATGCGATTTTCGAGGCAAATCCCTGAATTAAGGTACAGAATTGAATTGAATTGAGGTAAAAATTGATTTAAAATATTCAAAATTGATAAAAGAATAGTAAAAATCTCATGAAATTTTTTGGAGAAATGAAAGCTTTTTCCGGGAGTGAGAGTGCGCTAATGGAAAACACATTGCAACTTTTCTTCCCCTTTAACCTTCACCGAGAAAAAGTGAAAACTATTAGGTACATGCATGAGAAATGTGGATTTCAACATTTTCATCAATTTCCAACGATAGAAACCTGATATCGATGAATTTTACAAAGCTATTTGTTATAAATCCTTTTTCACTCATCAAATTCGGCTTTTAAGATAAACAAAAACTATCTAGCGCTGAGTATTCTTATGAAAGTTTTTAATTATATCAACTTTAAATCTTTGGAAGTCTTTTCATTGGCAATATATGACCAGAATCAACTCAAATGCCTCTTCGCTTGAATTTCTCTCAAAAATCGCTTTCTTTCTCGAATTTCTCTCAAAAATCATCTAGATTTTCGGAGATTTCTAATTAAACATCGAGTTTTGATTGATTTTTGAGACATTCCTAGAGTCAAAGCTCAGCAAAGTCAAAGCTGTTCGTATATTTCTCAAGTTCAGCTTTTTCTCCCCCAATTTGTGATTGTTTTTTGGAAAGCAATCTATTTGGTACATGCATAAGAAATGTGGATTTTTTTCATTTTCACATTTTCATCAATTTCCAACGATAGAAACCTGATATCGATGAATGTTATAAAGTATTTGAAAGTTGTAAATCTCCTCTAAAAAATAGGCTAAAACGTGTTTCAATTGGTGGAATCATTGAAGAAATTCCGAGGGTGAAATGCGAGTAACCAAAAAAGCGAACTTTTTGAAAACCCCACTTTCACAAGAGTTCGGTTTTGACTATATAGTAGAAAATGAGCGCTTTAAAATATCATTCAAAATAATCAAGAGTTGGGATCATTTCATGGGAAAACTTTGTTTTTACAATAATTTTTCTTTTTTGTGAAAAAGCCGGTTTTTTGACAATTTTGAGGGTTTTGAACTTACGCTCTATCTAAATTTTAAATGCATTTCCGTTAGACTTTTTTAATGAATTCATATATAGTTATCCTTTTTTTTTTCTTTAAATCTTCAATTTGGAGAAGCTAACTCTATTTTGATCACACTAAACTTGTCCCTAAAGTGGCTCGATTCCTTTTTTTGGTCACTCGCATTTCGTCCTCGAAATTCCTTCATATGGTTCGATCAATTGAAACACGTTTTAGCCTATTTTGTAGAGGAGATTTGCAACTTTTAAATAGTTTATATTCATTATCATTCTTAATGGCATTGTCATTGTCATTTGTAGAGGAGATTGCAAATTTCAAATAGAAACATCACGATATCAGATTCGACGTAGAAATGAGAAAAGTTGAAACCGCACTTATTCATAACCAAGCAAGAACGAGTAACCTTTAGAAACAGAGTTTCAGAAACAAGGTTTCTAAAAACGTAAGATCTCTTGGAAAAGACTTGACTTCTGGATCTGTGAGCTCATTGAGATCTGTGAGCCAGTTCTGATTCCTAGCTGGTCATGGTTATCAAGGCCAAAGCTATAGAGACAATTCCAAATCTCTATAATTTCCCTCGGAATTTCTTCAATGATCCACCAATTGAAACACGTTTTAGCCTATTTTTTAGAGGAGATTTACAACTTTCAAATACTTTATAACATTCATCGATATCAGGTTTCTATCGTTGGAAATTGATGAAAATGTGAAAATGAAAAAATCCACATTTCTTATGCATGTACCAAATAGATTGCTTTCCAAAAAACAATCACAAATTGGGGGAGAAAAAGCTGAACTTGAGAAATATACGAACAGCTTTGACTTTGCTTAGCTTTGACTCTAGGAATGTCTCAAAAATCAATCAAAACTCGATGTTTAATTAGAAATCTCCGAAAATTTAGATGATTTTTGAGAGAAATTCGAGAAAGAAAGCGATTTTTGAGAGAAATTCAAGCGAAGAGGCATTTGAGTTGATTCTGGTCATATATTGCCAATGAAAAGACTTCCAAAGATTTAAAGTTGATATAATTATAAACTTTCATAAGAATACTCAGCGCTAGATAGTTTTTGTTTATCTTAAAAGCTGAATTTGATGAGTGAAAAAGGATTTATAACAAATAGCTTTATAACATTCATCGATATCAGGTTTCTATCGTTGGAAATTTGTGAAAATGTTGAAATCCGCATTTCTTATGCATGTACCTAATAGTTTTCACTTTTTCTCGGTGAAGGTTAAAGGGGAAAGAAAAGTTGCAATGTGTTTTCCATTAGCGCACTCTCACTCCCGGAAAAAGCTTTCATTTCTCTAAAAAATTTCATGAGATTTTTACTATTTTTTTTTCTATTTTTTCTATTTTTTACTATTTTTACTATTCTTTTATCTATTTTGAATATTTTAAACAAATTTTATATTGGAATTTTTATATTTATATTTTGTATCAAATCAACAACTCACATTCCCCTTTCCAAAAACTTCGACTCGACGATTTGATCCGGTTTTTGCTGTGCATTTGTAACTCTTCGAGAAATCCTCCTCTATCATTTCCCATGTAATTGTTGTGTCCAAGATTTTCCCTCCATCAATCGTCATCTTTTGAATCGAGCTCTAAAAAAAAGCTCTAAAAAAGGCTTTTTTATAAGAAAAACTCAATAAGAAGGAAAGCAAAAGTCAATAAGCTTTTTAAGCAGTCAATAAGCAAGAATATCCAAAAGCTTTTGGAAATAAACAAAACCAGAGGATTCATTATAACAAAACCTGTTTTTTAACCATTTCATTTTGCCTTTTGAAAGTTTCTTTAAAGAAAGTTGCTTTAAATTCAAAATTCAAAAGAAAAATACCTCCTTTTCCTATAAACTGTTCCTTTTTCTTATCAAAATGTTTGAAAGCTTTTTTTTAACTAAGAAATCCATCGACTCTCCAAGCTCACGCTGGAGTAAATCGGCAAAAAAATTGTAAAGTGAAAAGAATTTTAAGAAAAAAGAAGAATTCTTTTTAAGAAAAAAGACTTTTACCGGAAATGAGTCGACTTTTGAAATATTTTTTGTTAAAATCCCTTGGCTAGAGTGTTCTTCAAAAAGAAAAAAGACAAAAAAAGGCTCGGCAAGACAAGCCAAGATCAAGCAAGATCGAGCTTGGCAAGTTGGCAAGCTAGGCAATTAGGTTGGCAAGTTATAAACGATCGTTTTTGGGTAATGTGTTTTCTGAAAAAAACGGTTTATCCAATCAAAAATGCTTGATTCAAAAGCCCTATCCTTAATCTAAAAAATGACTTCATCGATTGGCTTCATCGAAATGAAGTTTTCCCAAAATTTCCAAAAATTCCCAGTTTCCCAAAATTTCAGAACAATCCAATCTTCGGAAGGTTTATTTTCAAATTCAAATTTCC